ATCTTCAACTAAAAAATCAGCCCTTACCCAATTGCTCTACTCACCCCCCTCATCTGATCCAATTCCAATACAAGCAGACATTCCTGTAAAAGTCCGAGCCAACTTCCTCCTCGATCAACTAAATCCATCAATTTGAAAACCCTTCGCCTCGCCAAACACAGTCCTGACCTACTAACAACCAGAAAGCAAGCCAAACTCCTTCAAAGCTCACAGAATCGATCTCACCGAGCACCAAACGGCGCGACCAGTTCACGAAGAGAAACCCCAGGATCGAGCACCCGCCTTAACTCGAAGAAACCGAAACCGCCCAAGCTCGTGGCCCCATTTCCATACGGGGTAGCGCTTTTTCCCCGTCCTGGAGCGGAAGTTTCGGTGATCTCGAGGTCTCTCGAGGCGGCCGGAGGACCGGTGTTCGGTATACAGTGCACTCGAAGTCCCCGCGGAATCGAAGACGAGAGAGGCGGAGGTCTCGTGTTCGTTATCGGGATAGGGGTAGAGGCTGGAAAGAGAACAGGGACCCGGGGAGCCACAAGTGGGCTGCAAGCGGAACTAGCCGGGGCAGATCGCGGAATTAGTCTTCTTGTGCGTTGTACGCTCGGGGAGGTTTACGAAGCACTTGACCGGGACTGCGTCGAGCGGAGCCCACTCGAAACGCGTGATCAAAGGGTGCATTCATAATCTGCAACCCGTCGCGGTTTCGCGAGCGGCGTCACGCGGTTATGCGCCCGCCGCTTTTGTAAACACAACGCGGAGCTGTATCACGGCGCATGTTCTCAGGAGAATGTACAGTGCATAGCTGAGATGTTGATGCGCGAGACGGCACAGGGGCAAGAGAGAGTAGCGTTACAACCCGTGGTCCATCCGACGATCGCTCGTGTTTTGGTAGTACTTGCACGTGGCGCGACTAAAGCAACTTCACTCGAAGCAACACCTTTCGCACAAAACGGACAACATATTGATTTTAAATGTAGTTTATTGAAACTTAACACTTAGTTGTTTAGGCACTACAGGTCACTATGGTGGATTCCCACCAAGTGATTTTCTAGAACGAAACGCTACCATAGTGGCTTCCCTTCAAACGATGTTGTGGGAGAAAACAATAATATAGTGATTTTTTTATTTTTCTGTCAGTGAAAGTTGTGTATTTCGTGATTAATACGAGGGAATATCTTCACATGTTTCAATCTTCAGTTGTTTCGTCGAAAGATGGTCGAACGATAGTATTGCCCGATATCGTCAGGAATGCAGCAAAATTCATTGTACTAATCTCGTGAACTTGCTCTCCACCGTGGATCTGATTGTACAGTGACATAGATTAAACTACGCGTTCAGAATACGAATCCGTTGATCTTGGACCTGTGTCTACTAAATTAACTCCTTCTCTGTGTGTTACTAACGTGTGTCCCCGTGTGTCTTTGCTTTCTCGCTTGGTTTATGACCCGATTGTGTGTATGACCGCTTGGGCCAATAGTTCACTAGTGCCAAAAATGCGCATGGAATAAGACGTGCCTCTTCCACTCTGACCAATCGTAGCCGAAGTTTTTCCACTCATCATCTCACCAGTACTGCACAATACCTCTAGGGGAACCTGTTGTACCTTGGGTACGTTTTTTGTTTTTATTTTATTTTCTAAAATCCTAAATAATTTACACGCTTGATAGATTGTATATAGTTTACTGATTAATAAGAAACATAACATAATTTTTGTAAAATGATTCCAATATATTTTATTAGAATTATAAATGATTACAGAAGAAACGGTAATTATGTCCATGGTACAATACCCCCTATGTACCTCGGACCTAGTAGTTGTTTTTATTAATTATGTATGAATATATATTTTTTGTTTTACAATAATACTTATAATATGCAGAGCATTAGGGTTATTTAAATCTCTATTCTAATAACAATTTTAATACTTTTTTAATCAGTCTGTACGGTATAACTAATATTTCTATGTTTTCTAGTCATCATAACTATTTTATTCCGTTTTTATTATGGGGCACCTTAATAATTTGCTCACGTGTTTAGAAAAAAAGAGATAAAATATCGGAAAGTTAAACAAAAACCTGTCCAAGGTACAACACGATTTTTAGGCCCAAGGTACAACACTTCACAAAAATTACAAAAACAACTTCGAGATTAAACACTTCATTCTACAACAATCTATCGTTAAGTAAGTTACGAAACTATATTAAAATAATTGGTTGTAGCTTTATGCACAGAAATAAAGTTGTTTCCAAAAGTTTAGACGAAACAAGAATTACTTTTGATGTGAAAAAATCTTCAAATTGTCGTACCGCCTCGATTTACGACGCGAGCACTTGCAAACTAACTTTTGTAGGACTCCTCGCAGATTATGTATAAACTAGTAGTCCAAATTTTACAAAAAAAATCCACGAACATTTAAAATAGGATATAGGGCCGTGGTACAACCATGTCCGAGGTACAACAGGTTACGCTACCCTATTCCTACGACTGTGATTGAAAAGATGGGCCTATAGGAATTTAACCAATCGGTTCCTTCCACGCGCCAACAGCTCAGATCTGCATAGCATGTACACTGACTTCCACTAGGAGAAAATGTGGCATGGAAGGAGAACTTCCTACCACTTGGTATCGGGAATTACTGAAATTTGTACCAAATTAACATTCGGTTTAACATTTATTTCAGTATTTGAAATAAACTTACGAAGTGATAAGGAGACGTTTCTTCTACGCCATTTTTAGGTGTATGTATGTTGTGTTGAAGTCTGTTGCGTATCGCGCGGAAAATACGCGTTCCGTCGTAGGTGAAATGGGGTTCGCGAAGAAGAGGGAGGGGGATAGAAGCGACGCGTCTCGGGCTGGCTAAGGTTTGGCGAAGGTGCTGATGCGTCGCTCGTTAGGTGTTGTTAGCCGCATTACGACGGTATTATCTTATCGGTATTTACGGGAGCGTCCGAGACGTACGACGCCCTCCTGTTTGCCGAGCAATCTCGGCCACGAACGCAACGCAATGGTGCCAACACCGACTACGCGCGCGGCTGTTATGCATTGCACTTCAGACGCGTTTACGCCGGGCGTAAACGCTAATTCCGATAGAGCGATGCAGATACCAGCGTAGTTTGGTATTAGCTTCGACCTGTCGGGTCGAAACGGAATTCCCTTTCGGATCATCTTGGGAATGCAGCCGGGAACTATAAACTGATTAGTAGACTCCGGTTTTTATGTGTCCATAGCCAATAAAGGAATATGAAATATTCGGTTGGCCGAAAAGTTCGAACGGCTTTGAACGCTAAAACCAACAAAGCGATCATAAAATTTCAATACGATGTGAGAAGTGATTTCGAAATAATTTCTTAGAAGTCTGAGTTTGGTTTCCTTGACTGATTCGTGAATTTTCGATCACGATAGACTTCCTCTTATCCGGTCTTAAAATTGACCATATTTTCAGCAAAACAATTCCACATGTAATTCTCATGAAAAAAGCGTGATTTTTCTTCAAAAAACGAATTTAAATAAAAAAGATCAAAATTACCGATGTACTAATGTTTTGACCCATTCTTACGATTGATCATTTTAACATCATTTGGCACTCCCTAATCGCTTTTGGCATTCATTGATTTCCCGCAGCCTTCAAAATAGAACTTGCACTCTTTTTAACTAACCTAACTGAAACCAAGACATTCCTGACACCCTCTAAGTAATCTTAACCAACCCTTTTCATTTTTTTCATAGTTTTAACATACACGTTGACTTCGTTCCGAACCATCCTTAACCACCCTTGACACACCTTGACCCTCTAGCATCTCCAACGCTCCTTGATATTCTCTAGCAGACACCTTTTTTGTTCCTGACCAACCGTGACACTCTTAATCCCTCTTGTTCGTACTTGACCCACTTGACCCTACAGAGAACCCCTCATCTTTAAACACCCTTAGGATATTTTAGTTTTGCATGTAGGGCTCCGTCCGAGATTCTAAATGTACCTGTTCCCGGGAGATTTTATCATTAAATCGCTTATTTCTAACCCACACGTCTGGGCTCACGTAATACCTGTATTTATACTCAATCTGTGAAAACGTAGCAGCATTAAAAACACATTAGAGAACCGTGTTAGCATTAAAATTACCAGCACTGAACGTGTACTGAATTAAATCGTATAACATTATAATATACATAATGCAGTATAACATAATGTGTATAATAAATTAATGGCTAACACAAATTTCGACAAAAAGACCCTATTATTTCAGTAACTGTAAAATATGAACACTGAAAATCGTCATTTTATCAGGTTTGGTTAGTCTGGTGTTAAGTTGTAACCATAAACATTGTAATACATAAACAGTAGTTAATTAAAGTTTAAACAAATTGTCGAAAATTAAATATCTTTTTCGGGTCATTTCATGTTATAACAGCAGTGATTTAACCCGTTAAGCGTCGAGCTGATTTTAGTAACACATCTCAGAAAATTTGGCGAAAAACGTTGTGAAGAAACTTCAGAACTATGTAGGAGAGACAATACAGGACCAAGCGATGCGGTAATTGTTTACAAATCTCAGAAAATTTGGCGAAAAACGTTGTGAAGAAACTTCAGAACTATGTAGGAGAGACAATACTGTGTCGGTCACCGATGATCGATATGGCATTCAATGTGCCAAGTATCAGAAAATATATGAACTCGATCTTCTCCTCTTCGAGTACTCTTTATAAAGTTTACGGTGAGATCTACTAAACGGTATTAACCACGATAAGATCGACTGCGGTCAAGCAGACGATTCATACTCTGATCCTCTCCGACTAATTAAGTGTGCCGAGCTTCAAACGTTTCTCAACAAACGTAATATTGTTCGCTCGTAAATATTTATGACTGTAGTTTGGAGTACACCCGTGTCTTACGAAAATATAGCTGCTCTCGAAACGTCATCAGGAAGCCTCGACACATTATTAGACGTCTAAGCGACGTTACGCATGAAACATGTGGCAATCTATCGACAAATTGTCAGGATACTCACCCCGTAATATGTAATTTTGGTAATTCTGGTCGGCCTCGCTGCCAACCTTGATGAGGCAGGCAAGACCATCATTTTGCACAAACTCGTGCACCAGGTCCTTGTCCTCCTAGAAAACCAAAGTACATATATGGTAAATACCGTTCCGGCAGAGGGAATGGATACCTGTTACACAGGTAATCGTCGCTTTTATGCCTAATTTATTCACCGCAAGATGAGACTCCCAATCGACAGGTTTCCCCAATACAAAACCGCGGTCGCGATTAGAAATGCTAAAATATTTCACGGCTCCGTTACGACACTGGTTCAGTGAAAATGATGGCCCCTGAATATCGACGTTATTCTTTCATGAATATTTCTAACGAGAATGCTTGTATACAGTTATTCGCACTCCTGGGTGCGTAGAAAGGAACGATTAAGATTTCTAAAATGTATTGAACCTCTGCTAACGAATTGCCCACTCAATCGACAAGGTGTAAATTTGGATTCCTTGTCATTCAACAATATTTTACAGTATTTTCAGTTTATATTTTTTCTTTTCATATAGGGTGACAATTATAAGTAGTCGATGCTTTCGAATGTTCACAGATTCATGGATTAATTTGTGTGAGTTAAATTTAATTCCCTGCATATATGGTTTATTTACATTTAAGCAACAATTATTCATTGAGTAAACAAACAACCAAAGCAATAACCCAAGAGGAACCAGACGGCTGAAAAGAAGAAAACCCTCTGAACTATACATAGAGTAAATTAACCTTTAAAGACTGACCATACATTTCTGAAGGGTGAACCAATTGGAAGTTACGGCTGTGGTGTTTTTTCCAAAAGATTTGTGACTAAATTACGTCTATATTTGAGATATAGGCAAAAGATCGTTCTGAAACTTTCAGAGTTAAACACACTGTACTTCTGAAGAATTTCTAATGGGCGATATCTTCTCGCACGTTCTATCAGCATAGATCGCAATTCCCTAAATGATCCAAGCAGGTCACCGGCAAAATTAAGTAATAATAATTTTGTATAGAAAAAAAAACTATATCCCAGAATGTGGCAGATGTTACGAACAGGTGAAAAGAAAGAGAGAGGGAGCGTTTCGTCCTGAGCCTGCCAGTGGAGTCAGTAATGTTATACCTAGCAGAGCCTGCCTTAATCACGAGGATATTCCATGGTTAGTTAAAGGCGGGCCCTGCGGGGGGCGCGGTTTATACGAGTTACAACCGCGATGACCCCTCGCGTCGCCCGCAGGGCATCCAGAGCCGAGGGGGTGGTACTGAGGGTACCACCCCCTTTCGCGGTCGGCCCTATCGAAGACAGCGTCGAGAGGTGACCCCTCAACGTGTAGGCAGGAGGTGGGAGACGGCATCCACAACTGTCCCCTGGAGGGGGGGGGGCAATGCCACCCCCCCAGAAAAGAGCCCTTCCTCAAAGACCTACAGGGAGCGCAAGAGCAAGGCTAGTCGCGGTAAGTGGTCGAGCGATCCCGTATTCAGCCCTCATACCCGAGAGGGTCACCGGGGGGGTTTTAGCGAGTGAAATCCCGCATTGGCCGTCTCCGCCCCCAGCAGAGGCGGTGCACTTTTTCAAGGTTTTCCCCCGTTAAGAACAAAAAAATGGTTAGTTAAGGACGTGCATACAAGGTTGTCCCACCTAACGTGATCACCTTTAGTATCTCACTTGCTTTCGATTTGCAGAAAATTCATTTTAATAAATGCCTAAAGTGATGTTACACACTGATTAGTGGAAGCCCCTTCTAAAGCTCTACCGTCTCTGGTTGGACGGTGCCCGGTTGTGTTTACCGTAACACTACGGCGGGTGTGCAAGCACACCCTACCCCGCGATATAGGGTTACCACTGCCACCACGAAGATCCAACCTCAATCGGATGGGCGGGAATGCTGGGAGCCACCCCAGCATATCCCTGGGCTTGAGCCCAGCCCCCATGGTACCATTTTGAGAATGGTTTTCCCCTCGAGCGAACCATCGTTCGCTCTACCAGTCTATGGTCTGTTTTTCGAAAGAAGAGCCGTCGGGGGTCGCCCTGCCTCGGCGCGTGGCCTGGTAGGGATCCAACACGAGCTGCGTATTTCGTGCGACGTTGTCACGGTCTCAATGCCACTGTGTGTCTCTTTCCATTCTCCGGCACTTCGGCACGAGAGCCTCTCGCTCAGACGCTCGGTAAACCTACTTCCCCTTCTTTACCCTGCGATTTCCGCGTGTAGCGTTTAATAACCTACGTATTAATTTAATCCCCTTTTAATATGTTTCTCAATATTTGGGTACAATACATTCTTGCAAAAGAAATAAATTTGTTCTTATTAATGTATTTTAACTCTTGACATTTCCAGACAATGGATGATTGAGGGGCGTGTGCCGAACGCAGTCCCCACTACTTGAGATTGTAGGTAGGTCCTTCTCGAGAGGTTTGTAATACGTCCGATGGAGACAGACGACCGTAGACGAGGACGCACGTCAACGGACCAACGTCATTGGCCAAGACGCGAAGAATGAGAGAGACACAAGTGCCGTAGATGTCTCGCAATCGCGACAACACCGCGAAATGTAGGGCCTACCTCCCAGGGCTCTTCTTTCGAAAAACAGACCATAGTTATCTCGCTTCATGACACTGGCCAGGCAGCTCGGGAGGGATGACCCGGGATCGCCAGTACCCGTATGCCCACTTGTGGACACCCCTGGGTATGACCTAGGGTGCCTCGGGGTTGCGAGTCCCGTGCCGCTACGACCGATAAATCGGTGTGCGGCCCCACGAGGATGCGAGCTCGGGTACCTCGGGGTCGCTAACACCCGTACCACAGGCTGTGGTCCACAGCCGGCCGAGACCGACTCTAGCCCCTGAGGAGACCCAGTACATGTGTGACGCAACGATGGTTTCACCTACGTGCAGAATGCAAGAGGTGTCGCCACAAGGAATTTCTCAGGTGCTAGCGATTCCCGAGAAACCGTAAGCGTTTCGAACGCAGGGTGTCCGGGTGGAATACGTTTAGGGGAAACAAGAGGAAAGCCGATTAAGGCCGAGATCATCGTTTCCCAGGGTTCCGATGGAAAGGAACAGGAGGGATAGGAAGAACGAGCCGCTGATATCCGATCTCGGTGGAGATTTATCCCGTCGACCCCGCCTAAGTCAGCCCCGGGAGGGGTAAATAGAGGGGTAAATAGAATTAGTTATGGCGCTGCGGGCGTAAAGTCACGGACGTAATGGAAAATCTAGCCAAGTTTGATTAAACCCGGTTGTTTCCAGCGACAGGTTAGAAGGAGGAGGACTCGTCTGCGCGATCTTGTCGGACTCCGTTGTTCCCTGGCCTCCGGGACAAACCACGGGAAGTTTACGCGAGACTCGAGTGAACGCAAGCTCGATTAGCTGGGCCGGGATTAAGAAAGCGAAATTGAACCGTTGCGCCAGCGATGACTGACCCGATAAATCCCAAAGGAGGCTAGCTCGCTCGGAAAAATGGAGACCGAGAACGGAACCCGGAGGGAGAACGGGGGCTTGTAATTAATTTCGCAGCTAGCCGGCTTGATAATTGAAACGATAAGGTATCAGCGGACGAAAGAATTTGAGAATTGTCTTCGCTGGTTCGTGGACGGGGAGAAACGGGGGAATCGTAAACAAACCTGGGCGGTAGAGTAACTTGGGATACGGAAAGTGGTTTGTTACTTTTGTGCAGGGAACAATTGAATTTCACATTGGGGGGATTTCGATTCGTTTAGAATGACTTTTTATTTGAATTGAGTGGTTCAAAGAAGATAATTGGTTTGGTGGAGTTCTAAACGTGAAATTCAATGTATCAAAAGTAAAGCACAGAATAGTATAATGTACTAACTTATTACTAGCTTGCGGACGTGATTTAAGCAAATCTTCATTCTCGTAGGTTGGTTTACAAAAAATAATTTCAACAATGAACGGACTTATTATGCCGACAATACATCAATTGAAGAATGCACAGGTTAACATATGCTGCATGATGCAATAAAAAGTGTATGCTGTCTGTTAAAAAAATTCCTGCGACCTAAACAAAATTCGAAAAGAATTGTGTTTGAAACATTTCTCATATCATTAAAAATAAAAAAGATATGTAGGTGTTCAATCTTAAGTGGGACACCCTGTACAGGGACATCGCGATTATTGACTGATTGTTGATCCACGATTAGTGTCCAGGCGACGTCCACAACCAGAGGAGAGGGGTGGGGGGTAGAACTCGACAAGCACATACTTTGTTGTCCCGGCGCGCCGAGGCGGCTTCCCATTCACAAGCCGAACACTGAACTTGGGACCGCACAAAAAGGTTACATTCCCGGGTGTCGATGAGACCATACTAATGCAACGATAAAACATTTTTATTTATGGTTCTTTATTAATGAAACTTTTATGAACATATTGGTGAGATTTTTCTGATTAAAATGATACCAAGCACGACACAATTTTATTTACTTATGTGCATATGTAGAAAGTGTTAATAATTAATATAAAATATTAATAGTACAATACCTCATAACTGTTAATAGGCATTTTTGGTAGATTTTTATGATCTGAATACGAATGTGCACGAAATGACACTTTCATTAATATATATTGAAAATTGGAAAAGTTTAAATTTTCATTCGTGCGTGATTCCTTATCTCATCTACGTCTGATAAAAGATACAAATAAGTATGAAAATATCATCGACGCTATGAATAAAACGCCCCGAATAAAAAAAGTATCTTTTATTCGTCGGATAATTCTCGTTGAATAAATTTATTCAATCGACGCTAGTCAAATAAAGATACTTTTTTTATGCAAGTTTCGAATAACGAATAAATTTTTTTTATCTTTTATTCATTATTCAAAATTTTTATTTAGATACAAAGTTTGCCCATCTCTGGTCGGCGAGAGTGTCACAGACCGGCCACGCAGTCGAGTCGAATGGAAACAGAAACTTTCTCTCTGTTTTTCACACGCTTGTCCTTTTCTACGTTCCGAATACTACAAAGGCGAGTTGCCGAGGCTCGAGCTTCGGGCAAAAACCGTATTTACGAGGGTCAGAAGTGTTTCACGTAGTCCACGATTATTGTCCCAGCGCGGACCCGAGTTCTGGACAATAATCGCGAGGTCCCTGTATATCCATTATCCTCCATTTTCAATAATTCTCTCTGCTGTATTGCTACGACAGATAAATTCGATTATGCGTGAAATATTAGGTTTTCAGTGTCAGTAAAAAAAACTCACCGATAATCTACGATCACAATCTACTACTGAAGCATTACTGTATTTTCAGAATAATCGATTCACTAAGCTACGTTCATTAATTGTATAACATTTTTCTTTCCTTTTACGAATTACATGCATACACTAGTTTAATTCTTCCTATACATAAAAAATAGGGAAATTTATACGTTATAAACAACGAGACTCGAAATTGACAAAGTAAAAGAACTTCGAATCTAAAGTTCCTAATCAGTGAGAAATTACAACAGTTTGGTCTAACAACGGATTATCGAGCACCGCGTTTGACACCAGATCCATTCATCACGAATCTAATATAATTCTGCAATAAACTCATCCATCACTTAGGGACAACGATAGCTTCCGGTCTAATGGGATTTCTTTTACCGGGAAGTTCTCAACATTGAACGCCATGGGAGAAAAGGATATCTTTTCGTCCGGCTAATTGCGAGATTTAATTGTAGGAGAGAAAAAGAGTTAAGAAAGTCAGGCCTCGAATAAACACGATCTTTCGGAGTTTACTTTTCGTTCCGGAAACGGCGGAAGGAAAGTTGAAATGGATTACATTTCCGACTCAAATTTGTTCCCGTTGAGGTTGAAAATTTGATCCCCGCTCATTAAACAATATTGATACTACCTACATCAAATTTCATTTTTTCTCGATATGATAAACATAATTTTCTCTTATCCGACTAAAAATACCAAAATAAGAAATTGAAGGGCGCGAATATAGTGCTTGTCTATGTTAGATATTAACTTGTTGGTACAGTATTTAATCAAAACAAGGGTAAATTTAACGCTTCCTTTGCAATAACCAAGTCGCGAATATTATTCATTTACATGTATAAAACGTGTAAAACGCGTCGCAAGAAATCATTTAAGGGGTTATGCCTACCTGCGAGCTCGAAAAAAGACATGTAGGGGAAAGGTGTCTAAAACAATCCCTTTAAGACGTAATTTGTATAAAAAATACCAATGCTCATTATTTAAATAAAAGTAAAGTAGTTTTTGTAAGTTAGTCCATCTATCTTATCATTGGCTTAAATAAAATTTAGCTACCCGATCAATTATATTTTTTATTCACATTTCTTTGAAGGCATATTTAAGGTTCCTTTTGTAATATATGTGTATAAAATGATCCCCGGGGATAATTTTATACACATACATTACAAAAAAAAAGCATTTCATTTATTACATTTTATTTAAATAAAAGCAGCTTTGACGCGTTGTTTTTCTTTCATACTGACGGGGCATTGTAACTAAAACAAAAAAACAATAATATAGCATATGGGTAAAATGATTCCTGGGATCATTTTATCCTACTGTAGAGGAATCATATGACCCCAAACACCCAACTTACATTCAGTGGTTGAATATAACCTCAATTTATTACATGGGGTAACGAAACATTAATTAACTTATTATTGAATTGTGGTTAAATCCGCGCAAGAAGCAGCTGTCACATTAAACCGTTCATGACAAAAGTTACACAACATTGAAAAAGACCTTATCTTAGATAAATTGCAGTAATTTTTAATTTTTCTTGTGGACAACACACAGAGCACTGATATTCACATGGCACTTCGAGCAACGACTAGTGACGTGCGGGGACAACTACTGTAGAACGACATTACGCTATAACATCACTAATAGTCACAGGGCAGCCAGGAATCATTTTACCCCGAGGGATCGTTTTAGACACCTTTCCCCTACTTTCGGAATTTATTTTTAAAAAACTTGAAGACTTTTTTAAACATACATCATTGTATTCGAAAGTGTACATTTTACAATGCTTATAATAATTTCTTCAATGCAAAATATGAGTAAGTAGGGGAAATATCAACGATCGCCTGGCAGCGTTTTTATTGTAAGCGTTTTGCGGTGACCACTGTAAATTCGAGTTCGTTTATCCAAAATAAAAAATCCGAGCAAATTTAATTAATATATTAAATTATCTAGTGCCCGATCGTTCATTATTTTGAAAATTTAATTTACGACAAAATGGCGGCTGTCCAAAATCGAAGTACCGATTTTCGCCACAAAAAATTGTTCATTTTTGATCTATAAAATAAAAGGCACTCGATTTTGACGTATAGAGTGAGTCCACCAAAGCTGAATCAGTTTGGTGCAGCGGTTCTCTAGATATTGTGGTCACCGATTTGGAAAATGTGGTTTTGAGAAAGATACGTTTAAAGTTTCAAGTCAGGTTTACAACCGAATCAATGCAAATTTTTTATATATAATTATTCTTAGTATTACTACTAACCAACCATAAATTGCATTGGGGCACAGCATTCATGACTCACGCACCCCTAGAAAGGGATTCTACCACTTTATATCTGCTCCGAAACTTCCAAAGCCGTATACTTTAAACGGGCGTAACTCCGCCAATTTAGGTCGGATCAATTTCAAACTTTCACACAATATTTCGAAAATAATGTACTGTAAGAAAATATTAAAACTCAAAAATCGATTTTTTCAATATTTACCTATAGGTAGGCATAACCCCTTAATAAAAATTGATCAAGAAATTGATAAAGTTGATTAAAGTAAAAATAAATGCTAGTTTTAATATAATAGTTTGATTCTGGTCTAGTGGAAATTGTATTACAAAATAATAATATTGTTACCTGTTATCCGACAGGTAGCACGTATTGTATAATGTATCGAAACGACGATATCCAAAACAGGGACAACGTAGAGTCGTGGTACAGAAAAGACGTGTCAACATAAGTACTCCTCCTCTTCAAATAAATAATTCTTCCTTTTTATAAACATTGTCTATTTATTTGGAAGTCATGCCGCGCCCACGCAACAATATATGAATAGTAATAGTACGTTCGATCCATATTGTACAATTGCGATCATAGTCACCGATTTTTTGCATATTTACAGCATTTATTGATAACCACTGTTGAAATTACAGAGTTAATTTCAACACACCACTTCAATCCAAGCGCACAACACACGCTAATAATGGAAGTTAAAATTTGACATGGTTCATTTTTTCGTTATCAACAAATGCTGTAAATCTGAAAAAAATCAGTGACTATGACCGCAATTCCCTGTGCATTTTGACGTGGAATGGCTCATACAGGACTTATGGTAATAAAAAATTGTAGTAGAACCATTTCTATTCACATAAGTTTGAATGTTTTCTTTATGAAATAGGAGATTTTAAACTCTTTCACATAATTTTCAAACTTAGTTTTCACCTTAACATACAAAGTTTTAATAAATGAAGATTACATTTAAACTTTTAATAAATGAAGCTTACATTTAAACTTTTAATAAATGAAGCTTACATTTAAACTTTCAATAAATGAAGCTTACATTCAAAGTTTATTTTTTTTCTGACACGCTACTGACATAGCATAATGATCTTTGCTAATGATATACAAGTACATACGTATGTACTACTCTTAGATCAACAGGTGATACAATATATCAAACAGTGCATAGTATTTTTTGCTTCGTTAAAAAGCAAGGAATTGGCGACACTTTGAAGCAGAAAGTTCATTTTTTCGCAAGATGTTACTTTATTTATGCATAAGTCAGATAAAACATATTATAAATTATTGAAAACATTCTATGTCGTACGATAGCCAACTTACATTTGTTTAATATTCCATTGTTCAAAGTTCGTTTCAGAAACTTGCTCATTAGAAATCATGTGTGTCCAGCCGTACATGGCAAGGTATACCCTCGATCGCCATACTTGTTTTCCAAGAAAAAATCAAAAAAATTGTACATGCTATTCACATGTGTCTCTGCATCAATTTGAAAAATTGATTGAGAAAAGTGTTTTATCACTCAAAAATAACTCTCATAAAATGTGGTATTTTTCGAATATATCAAGATGGATCCTAAACTCTTTGAAGCATAGTGGTACGCAAAATGTCCCACTTTTTTAATGCTCGAATGTGCATGGTGGGCCGTTACTCACGCCACCTTTAAATCGTAAAATTACTAAAAACAAAAAATTATTCAAATAAAACTATTTCGTCACACTTAACACATTACAAAAATTTCTGTACAAAGCATATTTTTTGTTGCAAAATCCCTGTGCTTGAAACAGTTAACAAGAGGAGTCTCATCTAACCAACAGGTTCATCTGCAAAACTTTCTTTCGAGCCGCACACATGGTCGATAAAGAAAAAATAAGGTCGCTTCACCTTCTCCGATACACGAGATTCTCGCGCGCCACTACGCCGCCCGGGCTCCACGGATTACGGCAGCCGTTACGTGTGTACCCAGGCAACGGGTTATTCTCAGCTGTCGCGCACAATGTCGGCGAAAATTATTGGAATGCGACGTGCATGCCTCACGCCAAGGAATAACGAATTTGCGAGACAAAGGGCCGCGGTTATCGAGATAGGAAGGATAGGAAGGATAGAAAGGGAACCCGGAGCCTGAAAGAAGCAGACGGCCGCGCGCTGGAGGGGAAGGTGGGGGGAAGGAGAAAATGCACTCGCTCGAACCGCCATGCAAATATTTACTCGTCGAGCGAGTAGCTTCGCATAAAAATAGCCCCTGTCTGCCCCTTTTGCTCCCTTCAGATTCCCCTCTCCATCCGTCTAATATATTTTCCTCTTCTTGCATCCTTTCTACCACCTCTCTTTCCGTCCTCTGCTCTTGCACCCCCTGTCCGATCTTTCTCCTTTGTCGTTCCCTTCCTACACCTGTCTCACTCGAACGCACGGGGCCGTCCATTCTCTCGATCCTCGCCGTGGCACGGTCAGAGAGAGAGGGAGGGAGAGATCCCCGCAGGTATATCGCGAATTGTAAACTCACCTGAAAGATCTGCTTGAGGGAGAAGAGAGCCCGTCGCAGCTCGCGGCCCTCGCTGTTCAGCAATTTTTCTGCAACAGACAAGCAACACGCAACCATTTATTATAATAATACCGAACGGACCTGTGGTGTATTGTTCGGTCTTGGTGCCGGGCACGGCACCGAGAACGGACAACTGGACCCCACCCCCAAACCACACTTTTATCGAGGGTCTATCGTTCTTTTAGCGAAGATACTCGAGAGCTTGTTTGCTTCAACGAAGAGAGTCTGGTTATGATTTTATTATTATCGTCAATGTAAATTGAACACTATATTGGAAACCCGGCAAGTCGATAATACACCGATGACAATATAATAAATGTATTTCAGAAACTGCAAGGCTTATAACAAACGACTTGCATTTAGACACGACTAAGTACACTATACTATGGAATTGAGTTGTTACCGACGATGTTGCGAGTCTCGTGTCTGAATTAGATCTGCCCTGCGCATCTTTCCGGGGTGCTTATATAAAGTAGTATTAGGAGGGAGCCGAATGACCTTAGGCCCTTAGCAACTAAATAGGAAAAAAACCGAACTTTGTACAAAACCAGACTTTGAAATGGAAAGCGAAGCGATGACGGATAACGTATTTGAGAAACGGCAGATGCATAGAAGTTATCAGGCTAGCGCTCTGTTGATTCAAGACTAACAGATGGTTAGTCATCCAACAACTATACCTCATCCAATGAGGCGAGTCAGTAAAAGTAATCAAAATACACAGGTGCTGAGCCCAACTATTGGTTAGTAACTGTTTCTGGGCCTGTTCTACCCAAATACTCATCAGCTCCCTTTGTTTATAGTTACTGACTCGATTCGATTAAACGATGACGTGTGTCTGTAAGAATGTCGCATTATGTATGTGGAGGAGTGCTGCCTATAGCACTTTAGATTGGTTTGTTCTATGCTTTAGACTTCTGACGAAAGTGGTATAGATGAGCTGATACACCTGGAGTAGGCCAAGTCGTTATGTTGATTGTAAGTGGTGCGTATGTACACCCAGTAGCTTACAGATTACTATTTTATTGAAAGTTTACACGTAAGAAATGTTTTTTTATTAACCCTAGAGCGCCCAAGGGGACGGATGCGCTCCTCGAACCTACAAGTCGAATAGTGTAAAATTATAACTATTTACCGCCTGCAAAAAGTGTTCAAAAAATTATTTATTGTCGTATACATGTTCATGTTTAATATTCAAACGTTCTCGTTACTATATGTGAAGAACACTGTGCATAAGAAAAAGAAACTTTATTAAGTACGTCTTATTACATGATATGTATATTATACCTTTCTTGTCTCCAAATAACAAACGATCACAGAACGAAGAATCGAACTATGTAATGGAAGAATTAGAAGAATCAGATTCCGACTAGTTACATGTTAGTATACTATTTTACGCTACCATTCTATTTTACAAGTACATATAAATAAAAAATAATTTTAAGGAAAAACATATGCTATCTTGGTTACAATGTATAATATACTCGAATGTTATAAAATTTTCATTAAAAAATAATTTTTTTTAGGAGAAATATGTAAAAAGTGTGGGTTCGCAAAGCCCCCCCCCCCCGGCGTTTTCGTGACAGCTCGAGGCTCGGACATTCTAGGGCTAATCTATGTTGCAACGAAGTTAAAAATTATTTTCTTGAACTCGAGTTTCATGATTGCGACTGATCAGGTTTGACTGTGATAAACGTATTTTACGCGTATCTCGCCCATATTTTCAACAATTAATAACTCGGAAACCGAAGCCACGCACGCAAATCATTTCATCATTATTGATTTTCATCTTAGTTTTGCATGTAAAATCCATGCTATGAAAGTGTCCCTCGTATTTATTAACATTTTGTAGAAATATATAAAATGCAGTACAAGAATTAAAATTCGAGCAATTTCAAGTAATCTTTTATTTTATTTTTAATCCACTAAGACCCCTAAGAGAAGAAAGAATTTCCTATTTCTACATTCGTCTATATAAATTACGTTGCAAAACGACATTTTTCATAAGGATCCACAGTCTATTAATCACATGAAGTGAGACATTCTCTATAAAGACTAATTAAATGAGTGCACAATCCTAATTAAACTAGAGACATGAACTGCTACTATTTGTGTTAAATATTCCATGCTTTAACTGCGCAACCTATATTTTTAAAACATAGGTTTAAAAAACGTTACACCATCAAACGAACTATCTCACAATGTCCTCCAAACTAACGGCGCCTCCGAGCTATGCTATCCGACGCTTGCGTTCAAAGCTGCAACATCCCAGCCTGCCACAAGCCACCAGGAAGTTCGATCAGCGTAGGAAGATCAAGAACAAAGCGTGACACCGGGACCGTTTTTGTTCCCGACGTCAGACGTTGTCGACACTCCGGCAGGGTCTTGTTGATTATCAACTTTGCTTTAGGTCGAACCAGATCGTTTCGCGGGTCTTCTAAGACTGATTTTCTTTCCACTGTACGCCCGTCTTCTGTCGAATTCGCCCATTATATCCGTACAAAGGAACCAAGGAAATTAATTATTTAACATAGAATCTAGCCATCGTAGGGGAAAAGTAAAATACACTCGTGGGGAGTGTATCGAACGGAAAGTATTTGAACTCTATTTCAAAACTTGCTCGTATACTTTACACACCGAATTAACCGTGTCTGAGTATTAGTGCTTAATGAATTTAAACAATAAATTCGATGGTTGAGTAGACAGTATACAGTACGTCAGATTTAAGATTATACCCAATGGTGGGCAAAGTTGGTTCCCGGAAGCTAAAACTTGTCCCCACCACCGTCCACCGTTACCATGGAGTGACAGAGACAAGAGTCCGGGCTTCTTTGTTCCTAAGAAGGCACACGGTGCGAAAGAAAGGTTGGAAGAGGAAATAGGCGCGTGAAGGCCCCTACGCTGCCCAGCGCTGGTATACACGCTGTTATTTCTGTACTTATTGAAAATTCGAAAAAATGTTTCATATGTATATTATGTGATTTTATGGAGAACATATAATAAAATATTGATTTTTTTATTGCTACTTATAGAGATTTTAATAATAATGTAATTTTTTTAATCGAACTACATATTTTTATTATTGCCATGGTATTAAGCATTTCAATATGAATTCAATGACATATTTGGTAGGTTTCTTCGAACAATAATATGAAAACAATGACATTGTTTCTTGTTTCGTAGATCATACATTATAGGTAAAGGTGCTAACCGAATTTGAAACATTATTATTCAAACAGAATTTTTAAATATGTCGTTGAATTTGTATTGAAATACTTAATAACACGGCAATAATAAAAATATGCAATCTCAATTTAAAAAATTACTTTATTATTAAAATCTCTGTAAATAACAATTAAAAAGGAAATTCAAACATTCTGTTAAGTTTGCTCCATAAAATCAAAAAACTTTTATATGAAACATTTTGTCGCATTTTCAATAGTTAGAGAAATAATAGTGTGCGTACACTTAAACCAAACATACTGTATGAATGTATTTACTTTACAGCAACTGAACAAACTATTGGAACTTGTAAATACGACGAGAATGACTTATGTACTTTTTAAGAAGATATGTTTGAGTCGATCGATTGATGAGAAGTGATGTTTAATTTTCGATGTTGCACGAAGGTAATGGTTATAATTGTGTGATTGGCGGAATGTCTTGAGGGTAGGAGACACTGACAAATATTTCATTGGTTGAAAAGTGTGGAATGAGGGAACTGATGCCCCCTTCCCTTCGTGTATTGTCCTTTCGGGAGATTCCTAACTATGAAGCTAACAATAGACCACGTGTTTGACATTTTCGCAGGTTTGGTGCATTCGGTCGGAGAAGTCCCAGATAAGGCCCTACCGTATTATACTCATAATAGGGACCTAAAGAATCTGCGAAAATTGCTATTTTGCAACGCGATAGAGGGTTTTTTGTTCCGTAAAACGGTCCAAGCGCCCAGCCATTTTAATTTTCATCGATCCATCTGAAATCACTCGTAATATTGCATGGAAATCTTTGGCGGACGATTTCATATCGGGACAATAACTCTCCGTCCGATTCCCCCCCCCCCCCCCCCCCCCCCCCCCCAACCCTCCAAACCCCTTTCGCGCTCACCCTTTCCCCTCTCGTTCCTTTTTTCGCCCCAGCTCGTTCTGTCATTCTTTTTCAATCGCGGCTCGACTGTATTACTAATAATTGAGTTCCATTTCACCAGCGGCGCACTAAATTCAATTTCCCGTAGCACGGCGTGGTCGCGTCGAGATTTTCCAGCCTGCTGGAAATTCAAGGAACGGAGTGGGGCGGGGGGAAAAAAGAAGAATAAACGTGGACGTGGAAAGGAAAAAGAGAGGAAAAGGAAAAGGGAGATATCGCCGGTGAAAAATCGGAAAATGCATTATCGTAGAGAGGGAACTCGAAGAAATAAGCGCGCGCCGGCGCCGCCGCTGTCGTTGAATAAAGAAACAAAAACTAGGGGGAACTGTCGGAATGCATTTTACGCGACGTCCCACGGCGATACATTGATTGCCATGGTTCCGATCGCGCGACTGAATACGCGCTTAATCGAGCATCGCGATCCTTTTCACGCTGATAATTGCTTCGTACGGATATCAATGCGAATAATTTTCACTTCTGTCCTGTTCGAATCTCATGTTTCTATAGATGGTACGGAACGAAATGAATGTATGGGGTGTCCCGAAAGTCTATTATCTATTTTAAGAAATAATAATTGGAATTTAGCAAAATGATTGTAAGATACGAAAGGATATCTATACGTATATACTATACATATGTATACTGAAATAAAATGCATGCATTGTACAATTTTGTAATGAATTATATTGTTTCATATTTTATGCACTTATTGTATACTTATCGTATACCCGTGTGCTTCTCGTTTATTCGATACCTCAGAATCCTTGACTTAAACGAATTTCTGTTTGAGTCTAGTTCCTGTGAATTCATTCACAAAGTTGTATGTCTGTCGTCGGTTTATAATAATAACAACCCTTTTTATCATCATGAACTTAATAATTATTTT